AGAGAGAGAGGGAGAGGTGTTTGTTATTGTATTAAGAATTGTAATTGATTCTTGCCATTTTCTCTCTGCGTCGGTTTTCAGGCTGACCTGGTGGAATACAATCATTATTGTACACATTACCCCACACAGATGACCAGTCTCATCTTCCGAATGCCACCTTCGGTGTCCCATCTCTCACCTTTTGTTTCCCATGTACCGTATCTAATTTTCCGTAATAATAGTATTATCATATCCCGACTTTAATTCTGTAAGAGCACTTCGTTTTTCTTCATCCCACGGGATGGAATGCTTAAGCAGTCCAAAATAAAATATACATCTCTGTCGTCATTGTCCACTTCAGAAGTGCTGATTTCAATGTTAAACAAAGTTTATTGTATGTATTTATTGTTCTTTTAAATGAAGGTTGAGGGATAATTTATACTGCTTGTAGAAGTCATATCTGAGCACCAAGTAAGTGTATGTATGGTATGTGCGGTGCAGGGGTTATTGGCCAGTGCGATGTTTCTGTCTATTAAATTTTTTTTAAGATTAGTTATCTTTTCAATTTTGCTCTTGTCTACTTTGCCATTTGGCATTTTTGAATGCCTTAATTTTGCATATGGTGCTGAAAAACTTGTTTTTTAAAACTAATTTGAGGGTAGGTTAATAAAAAAAAATTCTTTATTTTCAGGGTTTCCTTTCAAGCTCCAGATTTCTGCTTGAGAACCGAAGTGATGAAGCAAACCAAGTTTTGAAAAGTATCCAAGGCATGCATATGGCGGTACAGGCAGCCATACAAAATCTGGACTTTGTGAATGTTCCTGATGATTCTTCCTTGAAGGACATTACCAGTGCTAATCCAGTAGCCACTGTGGAGTCATATATCGAGGTAAGAACAGACTGTTTTCTTCAGAAAGTAAAAAAAAATGCCAGCCTAGAGAAGGGTGGAGGGATACATTCAAGAATTTAAGTAGAAATGGGGACTAGAGATTGGTTGTAATCGTAAATTGTGAATATTGTGATTGGCTTGGCATGATATTGTCTTCTTTATATGGTCGCTTTTAAGCACAAAGGGACTATCCTGAAAAATGCTGTTTTGAGAAAATCGAAGGTAAACTTTTTGGATCCCAAAAATCGATCTCTGCGTATTTGTTTTCAAATTAATTCTTCTGTGGTTTTGCATATGAGTCAGTTATGATCTTGTCTGATGTATTTGTATAAATGCTGACAATTATTTAGGCCTGCTCGATCAAAAAAGTTGGGTTGGCTCAGTTGTGCAGATATGCTGAAGACACTTTTGAAGCAAATCTGGAAGGGAAATGGGCCATCCCATTCAAAATAAGGCATACCTCTATCGGACTATTCCTGCATTGAAGTGATATACAAATAGTGTATCCCCTGTACAGTGGGCTAACCCACCAAGCTTGTCAACTCTTTTTTTTATAGAGTTAAGGGGTCTAGCCTATCCATGTGAACATTACATTTTAAGCATTTTGTACCAAACAGATTGGTACTATTATGTGGAACAGTACTCATGTTAAAACTGATACAGTATAGAAAAAGTTTGATGAATAAAACTTACCTGAAATGAATATATTGCAATCTTTGGGGTCATTTTCAACTGTGACAATCCGTGAACTCTTCACTTGAGGTGTCGGCCAGTTTTTGGGGTTAGCCCATTAAAAAACTTTCAAAAGTCTGCAGTTTCTTTAAAAGACAAGGAGAGTTTTATCTATAACCAATAGGAGCGGACACGAGCCGAGTCGAGCCCTCGTTTCTCGCGAGAAATGCCCTTCCCCTAGCTGCCCGGCCACTTAACAACTGGCCGGTACCGAGAAGTGATACCGCTTGTTGGCTTGACACGAGTAACAAGAGTGAGAAAGTGAGAGGCGTCGACGGAAATAGCGGCACAGCCTCTGAGAAATGACACGCAGACAATGTCACCCATCACTGTGCTGTCCTGTGTCTGAAACTGAAAGGGAGGGGAGAGGGTGGCGAGGCGAGTGGGGCTCAGGGCTCAGGCCAAGGCCAAGGACTTTACTGTATAACCTCCGTGGCCTAGGCCTAGGTCTCCCTGCATTCCTTCACCACCTGCGCCTGCGCAACAGGGCTAGCCTAGTTAAGATCCCGGCAACGGCCGGCCTTCTCGCTTAGCGAGCTGCTCTTCCTACGACGAGAGACGAAAAATAGGTCAGCTCGTTGGGAAGAAAAAGTGCTTCCCGTCCGTCTCTAATAACCAAACAAATATACACATCAATGAAACCAAACTTCTCCTATAGGTAGGGCAACGCCCGCTTTTGGTGAAGGTCAAGATTTCTGGAAATCCCTGAATTCTGGGTCAGCCCGCTTGTCCTTAAAAGCTACCAATCGCTGTACTTACAGGTACAGTGGTGTTGCTCTGAAAAAATTTTTTTCTTTGCAAGATAAATTTGTGTTCTCATCTCATTTCTTTTTATCTTTGTGTAACTCTTTTTGTAATTGATTAATGCTGGGTCCATCTGGTTCAAGTTTGTACCCTAAGAGAGAAGAAATAATCTACTAGTCTACTTCATGTTTGAAATGTAGTTTATAAACTTATTAAGTTCGGGTCATATCGTTCACGTGAGTGTACTTCTATATTTCAATTTTTTTAAAAAGGTGAAAGAGCAGTACCTTGTTTCTATTGCTGTGATGAACTCTTAGAAGTGATTCATCTCCTTGAGGTTTTATGCTCAGATTTTTGATGGACACCCCAGTATACAGCACTCTGAGGTGTTAAAAAAGTCTGTAGAAGCCTCGAAGAAAGGTAGAAGCAAAACATAATTTTTAGTTTTACTCCTACCAAAAGCCTGAATTTTTAAAAGGATATTTTAAAATGAAGTACCATCTCACAAATTTGACGTGAAAATGATAATGTTAAAATAAAAATGTTTTTTCTTAGCTCCCCCTAAATGTGCAAACTGAAATTCATGTTGATAAAAAGACTAGAAAAAAATGTAAAGCAAATGGTTCATTTTGACCTCAGTGCTATCTAAAGGATGTGACTAAGTGGGTGGTTGGCGGGTGCTTTGGTGTTGTTTGCTTCTTCTTTCCCTTCAAACTTCTATCATCCTATTTTTTCTCCTTTTTTTGCTTTTGTAATCTACTCTCTAGTAATAATAATAGATAATAGATGGCATTTGTATAGCACAAAGCCCAGCTCAACAGCAAGCTCTATGCGCTTCAGAATCTATATTATTATCCCAGCAGACCTGAAAGCATTTTGAAACAGCCTCAACTTCCTGGGAAGCATACAGTGCAAGCAGCCATTTATAGGCGCTAAAACACTAACATACTGACAAGATCTTTCGCTATCTCTGGCCGGGTACCCATTCCCGCCTGGGTGAAGTGAGGAAAATTTGTGTAAAGTACCTTTCCCAAGGACACAACATCGGGCACGCGGCTCGAACCCCCGAACGTGCAACCTCACGATTACGAGTCTGGTAGCCTAACACCTCTAATCTTTCAAAGTAAAATGACCTATTTATGTTACAAGTGCTGTGAAACTTACTGCAAATACTAAACTACTAATGATGTGACTAGTGCTAAAATGACAAAGTAGTGTTTGTTCAACGTGCATCCCTTTCATTTTTTTGTGACCAACTTTAGACGAATTATTTTTACTATCATGGCAGTCGTGGTCTGGGTGAGATATCGCTGAAAGACTCCGCACAAAATTTGTGATCACTCATTATTGATAGCAGTGAATGATGGCAGTCTTGTCGTCATGGGATCAATGACAGTTCCCCCCCCCCCCCCCCACACACACACACAGACACACACACACACCCACACACACACGCACACACACTTTTATTGTGGCCTTTTGGGACCTGCCACAGACTAGGAGAAATAATATTTTTAGAACTCTTTTTGAAGTCTGTTAAGAATCCCTTGTTTGCAAAGAGATGTGGAGAAGCTGAAATATAAATTTAAATGTGTCAACGTTCATCAAGGAACTTCAGAGGTTGTAGCGTTGCTGTTTAATATGTAAGCATAAAACTGATGTAGTTCTGGTTTGTATACTGTGATATCTGTCAAAGCTGTGGATATGTAGGTTTTTAATCATTAAATGAATGACACTTATTGATAAGTAATAGGAACTTACAGGTTTTAGAAAATAAGAATCAAAAGGAAAAAAAGTTAATTCAACAATTCCTGGAATTTCTATCATACAGGTATCTATTTCTTTGCCGTTGAAATGACCAGTCTTGTGTTAGCGAAGGTCCACTTGAGCCCTCGGTTTGGAACTATTTGACATGCTAAGCACATTTGTAATCTCGACTCTCTGTGGGGCCAGGTGCTGGTCTCTGTGATGGCATATGCAAAAGACTCTTTTAATTTATTTTCTATTTAAATTTGTTGTTGGGCTAACAAGGCACTTTTTGGGGTTGGTTGGTTTGTTGTTGGGGGGGGGGGGGGGGGAGAATTTTATCCACCCATTGTGTTGTATAGTAGGGTGTTTGATTTCAATTGTCCTTTTCACATGTTCAACTCATCTCATTTCCGGGATAAAGCAAAATTATTGTTTTACTTTTCATGTGCCCGGATTTCCACACCTGACCACGATTTAAAAAAAACAAAAAACGCAAAAAAGAGCTGTGTCCCTTCCTGTGCGTTGTGAAAACTGGTTCATGTGTCTGGTATCTCGTTTCTTTCAGAATGTGACCTCGAAACTCCCTCCTGGTCTTGACCTTGACCTGCTTATGGTTGGCAAAACCGGACATGGGAAAAGCGCCACTGGCAACTCTGTGCTGGGCCAGAGGAAGTTTAAGTCGTCAGCAAGTGGGGACTCGGTGACTCAGAAAACTTCCGTTGGTTATGCAGACATTGACGGCCGTGTCATCAAGGTGGTGGACACGCCTGGTGTGTGCGACACAGGTGTGTCAACAGAAGAGGGCTCGTTTGATCTGGCTATTCGCTCTATCAGTGACGCCATCGCTCATTGTCCTCAAGGTTTTAATGCTCTCTTGCTTATTATTCGGTTCGGTGTTCGCATGACGGATGAGGAGAAGAAAGCCATCGCACTGTTGAAGTGTGTATTGGGCCAAGATGTTGTGAAGTCGCACTGCGTGTGTGTCATTACCCATGGCGACAACTTCAAAGTAGAAATGAGAGACCAGCAAACCTTTGAGCATTGGTGTCGCAATCAGAGTGGCTTCCTCAAGTCTTTGTTTGAGGAGTGTAACTACAGGTGTGTGTTGTTCAACAATATGACACAAGACCAGAAAGAGAAAAAGGCCCAGCTGATCCAGCTGATAAACAAAGTGGACTCCTTCCAGGGCCAGGGCACCCGATACACAAACTCCATCTTTGAATTCGCTCAGCGTGAACGTGAAAGGTGAGAGAATTTTCGGCATCTACTCTCTCTGTATCATTGTTGGTTTTAAGGATCTTTTCTGTATTGTCTAGTTCTCATAAACATTTTTGTAAGTCAGAACAGTAAAATGCTTGTGGTTTTAATTCGTTATACTGTAGAACTACTAGAATACTGTTTTCTGTCTGAGCAAGAAAGTAGATCTGGGAGCAAAGTGTTAATTGTGGAAATAAAATCAGGCAGTTACAAGAAAATGTGTTTGAGATGATTTAATGTGTCTTAAAAAAAGGTATTGACAAGTTAAGTATGCATTACAAACAAAGCACATACAGAAACTGATTTCTTTTCATTAAAAAAACAAATCTCAGCTGTTATTGCTTCAAGCATTATGAAACTCTGGGTGTGTTTGTAATCTGTTGTACAATGTTTCTGATCTATGTCCTGAATGAAAAAGAAAATGAGGCCAAAATTTCTACATGCCTTGTGGTAAAGCGAATATGAAACCTGAACACAGAAATCTTCACTCAGAAAACTTTCAAGGTAAATAAAATCTACTTTAAAGAACACTTTTAGACCTGATCCAGAAGAAGTATAAAGTTGATGCAGGGTTGAATGAAAAAGTGGTTTTATGCAGCTTCATTCTCCGGATGTTAGCTGATTTTTCTTATGCAAAGAAGTAAAGGGGTAAGAATCTTTTTAACTAAAAAGAAATAACTTGCACATTTCTGGTAGAAAGGTGCCACTGGTATGCCGACTTCTTTTCTTTCGTTCTGTTCTTCCGGTCTGTCTTGCTTTTCCGCTGCACTGAATATTGGTTATTGTGTTGATGTGTTTCTCTTTTCTGAAACAGAAAGCTTGTTTTTATTCAGTACAATTTTTCTACTATATTTTTCTAAAGTTTGTTTTTTGGTTTGTTTCAGGATTATCTCTGAGCAGAAGGCGCCGCAAGTGAATGAGGAAACGATGAAAGACATCCAGCTGATCCTTGATTACCTCAACGGTATGGTGGCCAATGCTGGTCAAGCTGAAATGTAAGTAGATTCTCTGTGTGTCGTGTCCATCTGCTGTGGGTTGATAGGGGATGCCACTGGTTTCTTGTTATAGACCTGCATGTTTGCCGACAATCGTCTGAAATCCGACAATCGCGACCCGACCCACGAACCGGCGGATGCTATCGCTAGGCCCGCCTGTATCAGTCAATGTGCGTAGTGCGAGGCCTGGCCGACTGCCAGCGACCCATTTTTCTCCCGTCGGCTTCGTCGGCACTTTCGTTTTCGTGCCGACCGCCGACACGCGCACCGCCGACTGCCGAAGTCGGCGTTTCCGACATAATTGTCGGAACCTAAGTAGAAATGCGAGTACGAAAAAGGATGACAACCTAAATTATCTACTTTCAGTTTCGTGCTCGAGCGGCCATTTTTAATTTCGTTTGTTGACTAATTCAATTGTTCAGATCGTGTGGATTCATTCAAGTCCAACTCTCTTGTTCTAATAGAATCTAGATCTAGATCTAGATTTATATAGATCGTTATAGACCTCAATGGAGGATTCATATTCCAATTCTATTGTGTCAAACCCTATCATAGGTTGTGCTGTAATATTAATATTGGTAAAAATAAGCATTTCATCAGGTGCGTGAATTATTTATTTATTTAGATCTAGATCTAGAATCTAGACTCAGCTGAGTCCCTCTGTTCGGAATCGGATGCGGATTTCTAGTTCAAGGCCTATTCCTATTCACTTGTTCTACAAGATCTAGATCTAGATTACTAGATCTATATATGGAGGATTCCTATTCCAATTCTATTGTGTTATTGTATCAAACCCTATAGCAATGTAGATGTAAGCCATATAGATCTAGATCTAGATTATGCTCCTTGTTTGTTTTGGAGTGTGGTTATTTAATTAAATTTTTTTTTTTCATTTAGGACTTGTTTTGGCCTTTTTTACATGAGGCCCGTTGCAGGTTCTTTTTGGGGGTAGGGTTAGGGTTAGGTCTCTTCTTTATTGTGTTTGTTGGGGTGGTCGCTCGTTACTCGGATGTCCTTCCTTATGACACCCACAAAGGCTTTTTGGGGGGGGGGGGTAGCGCAAAATTTTCAGACAATCTGGTTGAGACTCACATGCAGGTCTATTGTTATTCTGTTTCCTCTGTTATGCTCAGCTTTGAAGGAGCGGGTGGTTGGAGGGTGCCACTGGTAGGTCCTACTTCTTTGCTCACCTTCTGTTGTTTCTGTCTGTCTGTCTTACTTTTTCCCAGCACTAAATGACCTTCATTGTGTTAATATGCTTCTCTTTACTCAAACAATCAAACAAACAAACAAACAAACTGGCTTTGAAGGTCTCAATGCACTGATATAGATCAAAGTAAGAAATTAACAACATTTGTGAAGAACCTTGAATAATATCTGTGAATAAGATCATGAGATAAGAGAAGTTCATAAACAAGAAAAAGATTTACTGGAAAATCTGAGAATGCAATGAAATTGGAAATATAAGGTCTAACCAGCTGCTGAGAAAGGTGTTGAGGTTCTAAAAATAACATTTTATTTTTATTTCTGTTGAAATGGGATGGAACAGCTCAGAGTCTTCTTAGTTTGTTGTAGACTGCCCAAATGATCTGTATAATCAGTTAGACTCCAAGGCAGCTAGAGATGCTGAAATGTGGTACTTAAAGATTTTTCTGACTCAGGCTTTTTATATGTTAAAAAGCATTTAATGCGAAGCATAACCAAATTGATTTTGAAATAAAACTTTTTTGTTTTTGTTTTCCAAATCAATTTGGTTATCCTTGAAGATATATCTTTACATATCTTCAAGTTGTTAATGATATATTGTCGGGGCTCTAATAGAACCTTGCTAACTCGAAATTTTAGCGAAAATAATTTTTGTGCTCCAAAACATTCGTGATACCTTGGTACACTATGTGTCTAAATGATAAATCCAAATTCTAACTACAAATGCCTGAAAACACGCTTAAAATTCTGCTTGAACTTCAATGCCCAGCACAAGGACATGTTTGATCTTTTGAACCTGGCTAACATGGTATAGCAAGGTTATAAGAGCGCCCCAGTCAAGTGACTTGGGTCAGTGAACTTTGCTTCCTTCTTCCACGTGGTCACTTTATTGATTGCACTTGTTATGATGAGGGACAAAGAGGCTGCTACCTGAGTTTTCTGTAATTCATCATTGTAACTATGTCTTTGTGTGGGCTGACTGTACTTTGTCCTCCTGTTTACATTTTCTTTTTTTTATATAGATTATATGTAATAGTTTGGTAATTGAAAAACAGGCAAAAAAATAATGCATGCTCTCTTGTCTTTTGCCCATTTGTTTTTTAGATATGAAGAAGAACTTGCTGCTTTGAAGGCTCGAGTAGACAACTTGAACAATCGTGTGTCTGAGGCTGAGGATGACCAGCTGAAAGGCCTGGTGGACACAGTTTTTACACTGGCCGGGGCTGTCCATGCCAAGATGGACGAGATTGCTGACCGCTCAAAGCCAGACTCTCCGGACAGGTGTTCTGACGGGACCAACTGTAAGTCAGAAGACACAAGTACACCATCCAGTGGCGTGGATCCCAGCTCGGGCACTGCCGATGGGCAGGGAAACGGTCAAGCTGGCAACAGCAATGATGATTTTGATAATTGCAGAAGGGATCTTCAGCTGTACTATGACACACAGGTTTCCCCACAAAACAGTGTGGTGAACAATCAGGTGGCAGACGCTGTCAATGAAAACATCCAGAACGATGAAGAGAAGAAATGTTTCCCTGGTCAGGCTCTGGCTACTTTCCCTGATGGAATGCAAGTGCCTGTGAGGCAAGTGAAAGTTGGGGACCTGGTGCTTGTCAGAGATGCTGGAGGGTGTCTGAAATATGATGAGGTCTACATGTTTGGCCACAAAGACGAGGGTGCCGTCTCCGAGTTTGTGATGCTGTTGACAGAGACAAAGTCTGTCTGTGTGAGTAGTGAACACAGCGTGTACTGCTCACGGGCTGGCCAGGAAATGTGTGTTGCTGCTGGTAATGTAAGAGTTGGGGATGAGCTTCTTGTACTGGACGCTTCGTCTGCACGTCTGGTGGCCGAGCCTGTGGTGAGTATTGGGTTTGAGAAGAAGCAAGGATTGTTTGCTCCGTTTACCCTGAGCGGCTCTATCGTGGTGGACGGGACTCTGATGTCATGCTACGTGAACTCCCCGGCCCCTGCCACCGCCCATGCTCTGCTGTGGCCAGTGCGACGACTGTACAAGTTGTCTCCCTGGATGCTGGAGTTTATCAGCGGCTCTAGCAAACAGGACACTATTCCTTGGTGGGCTAGGGCCGCTCTCAGGTTTCTGTAGAAGAGAACTGTTTGACCCCCATGAACCTGGTCGTGCACATTTGAATCAGTATTGGAAGTCTTTCAGAATCTTGTTTGTGACCTGTAATTACATAGTTTCTGACATGTTGCAGATCTGTATCTGTGTGTTGAAGCCCAAAATGCATGACTAGGGTCAACCCTGAACTAGGCCCTACCTGACCTGTCTTCCTTGAATTATTTTATCCTTAAAATATTAAGTGAAACCCTTTCAATTTGAATTAACTTCAGCTGTATTTTTGATGAACTTGTACTGTTGAAGCATTGTCGGAAACTTTAACTCCTTATCTCTGACAAGCAGCTCTCAGTGGGTAGACCTACATTCTTTTACGATGACTTTGATGTCAAATTATTATTGGCAATTGCCAAATTACCAGGAGTTCTTTCATTAGATGAAGAACTATGAAAAAAGGTTGTCTTGTTTTGAGTTAAGGATCAATTTAGTGATGTATATGTGGCTTTTAGATTTTGTGCCCAAGGAGTGCCCCAGCGTAGGAGATAAAGAGCCTCAGAGATAAAAAGTGAAAGACGTTTAAAAAAAAAAATAATAGAATCATCTTTCATTTTCATCTTCTATAACTTTCATTGTTTAATTTTTCAAGCAATTTGCACCTGCTTTACGCCACATGTTCTCTGAATTGTGTTGTTTAAGAAACTAAAGAACTGAAAAATAACATGTTGGAGATTATGACGCTATGGGTCACTTTTCACAAGATGTTGGTAAGTCCTGTGATCAAGGGACCTAATGGAGATATGCTCTAGAGAAAATCTTATGGAGATTACTGACTGCAATTGGTTTTTTCTCTATTTGGGTTGAGATCTGATGTAGACAAAAATGTTCATGTCCAGGGTCATGCTAAAGGTATAAAGAGCTACTCTGTTGTACATTACATCTGTAGGAGAGTCTTTTCTTTTTTTGCACAAATCAAGTGTTTGTTATTATCATTTATATATATGGAACAAATATCTCATGAATCCCTTTTTGGTTAAAACCAGTATATTATTATTAACCTTCAAGGTTGTTAAATATATCGCGAACAATCTGTTTTGTTCATGATAAGAATTTTTAAAAAATTGTTGGCAATTGAAAGGTTTGATCTGTCAACAATTACTTTTTTGCTTTTAGAAAAAAAATCATGCTTGATTATAGAGAAAAAGAACTAAGCTAGTGGTACAAAGGAGAAATTACAGTGCTTTTTTTGCCTGCTTGGTCATTAAGATACCTTCTGGTCTACATTTCAAGTCTGTTAGTTTTGTATTTTATTGGGGTCTGATAGGACAAAGCCGACTGGGCAGAGAGCCTTCCAAATTCTCCAGAAGTGCAGGTTAAAGAATATCTTGTAGGGCTTCTGACCATGGTCATCTGCATTAGGTCCAGCATGGTGTCAGTTTAGCAAAAGGTGTGTTCAACCTATCAAATGTGTGTCTATGACACCTAGCTGTACATCTTGAATACCCTTTTTTCTCTAAGTGTGAGAGACTAGCTAAATAGTCCAAGTTTTTTTACATCAAGGAAAAAAAAAGTTTCTTTAATGGGACAGGAAACACTAACTAGAGTTGAGAAAGATTGGATTGCTATAAATAACAGCAAGTTGCCTTTGAGAGGTGGATGGAAGCATAGCTCTATGTTTCCTTTTGTGCAAACCTTCAAAATTTTACTGAAATTAAATTTTTTTGATGAATCATAATGAAAGTAATACCAAAAGCTCACATTTTTATTTTATCTCATGAAACACCTTCGAGTAATATATGCTAGAGTGTCAGTTGAAGTCTTACTTTATATACATAGGCAAGGGATATAAAAGAAAACAACATAAAAACCCAAGTACGGAAAGATTTCTTTTTTGATTTGTATCAGATGAACATATATTTTTTTTAGAACCTGCTAGTGATAGGTTGAGCTTTGAACACAAAAGGCCATGATGTATTCTTTTGGTTTTTGTTTCTGTTGAACTATACACTTACTGGGAGCGAAGGTTCCTTACTGTCGAACCTGCTATAATGATCACTAGTCTAAGAGAACCACTTGTACAAGTGACTGCTTCCCATTCCCCCTCTTGCAATTTTTTTCACGTTATAATGACACTGTTCAAGACACCCACCTGTCTGAGACAAGCACATTTCTGCTCGACAATGGGTGGTGGTCCCGGACAAATTGGACTGTTTTGCTGGATTGGTTCTTCCACTGATAGATTAATGCTAAAGGGAGGCTAATAAAGGATAAAAGATAGATGCTTAGCCAGCACCAGGGAGATTTTAGGGTACGAGTGTTGTTTTTCCTCTGAGGAAGTCTTGCGGCCAGTTGGTGGGTCTGCAAATTGTTTCTATCCCTTCCTTGCTTAGGGTTGACAGTATTCCTCACGTGTGAAATTTTATTTAGAGTATTAAAATAACTCTTTGGGAGAACGGTGACTTCTGAAAGTTATGTGGTGACGTTTAAAGTTTATGATGATTTCACAGCCTTATTTTGGGAAAATTATTGAGAAACCTCTATATTATTCATTTATACATTGTAGATGTAGATATTTTGTTGTCAGATCTGTGTTTTGTGAAATTCAAATGTACTTTAGCTTAGACATGTAAATTTTCCTAGAACTGTTTTGTTTGTATGTAACAAGAGTTTTTTCCAGTCATATAACTGAAAAAAACCATCTCGTATATATACTATATATATGCATGACACATCAAATGTATCGGCCCTTCAAATGTAAAAATGGCTCTATCCCAGAAGTTATTTGATTTTAATTTCAAAAGAATAGGTCCAAATTTTTAAGACTTGCCCTAAAGCTTCCCAATCCTTTTTTAAAATGTGCTCCATATTTTATACGGTGATAAATGTACCTGTCATAATGTGCAAATGGTTGAGAATCCCAGAACATTTAAGAGGTTCACTTCGTTTGATTTAATGACCCATTTAGTGATGTTTTTGTCTTTTTTATTAGATTTAGTACCAAAAAAGGGCCCTGGCATGGTGGGTTTACCTCCCTCTGACATAGAAAGTTAATCCTGTTGTGACATGGACACACCTGCCCAAGCCTGGTTTCGAGCCCAAGGTCAGACTTCCTCCTGTCCTGTGCATGAGAAACTGACAACACTCCTACACTGGTTTGTCCAGTAAACCATCTGTGCTCAGAAGTCCACCTTCAACGTTACCCATGGGTTTTGTTAGTGCCATGCTTATTTGTTTATCACTTAAAACTGTAATGATTTTTTATGTCTCTCTATGGTTATTGTCATTTCACAGGTCTAAATCATTTTTAGATTTTTGAGAAAATTAAAGGAAAAAAAAGTACACGTTAATTAGTTAGAACCATGATTGACTCATTATTTTTCTTATATAAACTTGGAAGAAAACAACAATAATCTATACAGTAAGATGCCCTTGATGTCTTTATTTTAATAGTGGTTTTACCTGGAAACCCCCAGAATTGGTTTGGGCTATTGTTAAATGACATAGATGGTATAACGTGTGTGGTGAAGTGAAGCATATAGACTGCTATAGCTGTCTAATTGTTGTATTACTGTGCCTTTTATTTTAAATGTAATTTTTACTTTTCATTCAATGCTCTTTGTGTCCAACTTGCTGCTGATTAGGGCTGGATCCTGCTCGCCAAATTTGAGAGTGGCGATTCACGATTCAATCGGCTTCAAAGAATCACGAGTACGCGAGCGCTCGTGGAACTGTGGCGGAACACTAACTGAAACGGAACAGTGTCATATCAACGCCACTTGGCGGGCGCGAGTCCCACTCTTGTTGTTCCGCCATCCTCTCCGCCCCACACCCTTTGTTGCGCTGCTCTGTCTACTGACCTCAATTAGTGACCCCCATAAATTCACCCCCCCCCCCTCCAACCCCATGATTCTCTAAAACAATGGCTCCATAAAATTTCTTCTGTCTATTGGTTGGACCCCGCTCATTTTGTTTTAATAGGGGGGTTGGACTATACCATCTTTTGTAAAATAAGGGGAGCCATACTAAGTGTTCCGTTCTTGCGCTCGTGATTCGACTCAGCAGTTGGTTACAAATAAGCCAGAAGGTGGTGACAGCGACAGGGGAGTGAATCGGGAATCGTTTGGTGATACTGTTCCGCGTTCCACTCAAGTGAATCATGAATCGCGTTCCGTAGGCAAGAGTGGCGATTCAGTTTTGTTCTTGCGCTCGCAAACCAACTCTACTGCTGATATCTTCTGTGGCTATGTTTGCTGACTGGCATCTATGATGGAGTGGTTAGGCGCTTTGTTGTCATGTGTAGAAGACCAGACCTTGATTCCCGAGTGGGGAGAATTTTTATCGAGTTTCTCAGCCTTTCTTGTGAGATGTTGTGTTCCTCTGGCCGCACTCTTGAATGGTGAACATTTGCCTTCTTGCTACCTTCAAACGATGAACGTACTGCCTCCTTTGAACAATGACTTTTTCTTTGATAAAATTTCATTCTCGATACCAACAGTATTTTAATATATATATATAATGTTTCTGATTCTTGGTGTTGCTGGGTGACAACGAACACGCACTGTTTGCTTAGAATGAAGACCACTCCCTGACCACAACATTCAATTTGCAACCGTTCCGATCTGTGATTGTTGTTGTTTTGTAGAAACAGCTCAAATACTTTGAAAGTGGAAAGAAAAAGAGGGAAGAATAATGATTGGCCATCCTTTAAGATTACCACACCATGTGAAGCTCGCACCTTCAGTTCTAATGAGTGGGTGGTTTGCGAGTGCTCTTGTGTGGTCTGCTTCTTCTTTCCTGTCAAACATGTGTCGTCCTTATCTCTCCCTCTTTCTTGTGTTTGTTACTCTCTTGTAACACCTCTAATCTTCGGCTCTTATATGACCTTTTTGTGTTGCAAGTGCCGTAAAACACTTACTAAAAAAAAAGTTCTATTGACATGTTCAAGACAGTGCTGCCACCAAAATTATACATTTGTTTTATTGGTCCTCTTCATTTTGCATAGATTTTATTTTATAAAGATATGGCTGGACTAGATCTACATTGAAAAAACATAATGCAGCCTCAATGTAGAGGATAAAAGTTTTCCTCACTGGATTGTGACGATCCACATCTTATTCAGCTATAATGTCCAACACTCACTGGGCGAGGGTATTAAATACTGTGGGAGTACTGGTATCGAATCACTAGCAATATATTGATGATAAGAAGTTCGTCTGTACAAAGAATTCAGATCAAGGGATTGAGAAAAGTAGACCCTTTGTTCAAGGGTGCGCCCATTCCTCTTACCCCGGGATGGCCCTGACCGGCAGGGACGAAGCCCATCTACTAAATTATCTAAATTGTATTGATGGAGGGCGTAAAAATCACCTATGTTTTTTTTTTCAGAATTCACTGAGGATTAGATTCTTCTTTTTGTTTTTGAGAAAGGGTAGGTTGGGGGAAAAAAAAGGGGGGGGGGGGGTACATGGGAAAAAGAAATGGGGAGAAAAGTTTCTCATAATATCTTGTTCTAGAGTAGCAGTTAAGTACGTCTTTTAAAGGCGTAGGAAGAGCTTGTTTCAGATTTTTGTCGTGACTAACTTGTTGCATATATTTATACTTATCTGTACACCTTTACTGTGATGTAACCAGATTGTATGTTAGATTTTATGAACATACTATTCATAGAATGTGATGTTATGGATTTTATGCTTAAACATTTTAGTTTTAGTCTTTGACCAAATTAATTTGAATTTTTTCCTTAGTAGAAATGGTTTTTGCACTGTTTGTTTCATTTATTCATGCTGAAGTAGACATTAACTCCGTAAATTCCGGTTCCACATTTCAGTGGATCGCCATTTAAGTGGCATTTTAGGGGTACCAATTTCATCAACCCCAAGATCTATACCTGTCCTTTTGCTATGTTTACTACCTATATCCACCCATATTGTGATTTTTTGTTCAGTTAAGAATAGTTTTTGTGCTCACAGAAACAAATCTATCATTATTTGACTGTCTTACAGCCCTTTTAAGAAAACGCACTTCGCAACTTGATGCGTAAAATTGTGAAGTCCCTTGCGAAGGGGAAGAGTTTATTATAATTTGTGATTTGATTAAATTTTTTTATCATAGTGAATTTATATTGTGATAGAAAATCAGTCTGTGAGTTTTAGGGACTTCAATCAGGTTATTATTAAAAACAAATTGTCTCCGCTACTGTCTTCATGTAGAAGTCTGCCTTTTGTGTGTTACCGTGTTATTAATTATTTGGAACATATATGTTCATGGAAACTGCTCTAAATTCTTATAATACTGATAACTTCATAATGTGCAGTCCACACAGTAATGACTGGTGTCGGTGGTGAAGTGGTTAGCTGCTTCGCTGTTGCACACAGGAGACCTGAATTTGATTCTTGAGTCGGGATAAAATTATTATCGAGTGTCTCGGTCCTTTTGCTGGAATACACATGTATCTCTCTCAGCCTGGGTTGGCCCTGACATGCAGGGTCAGAAGCCTGCCTCCTAAATGATCTAATGGGGTTGTAAATTCATCCTCGTAAAAAAAAAAAAAATTAGCACAATTTTGTGGTTATTCATCAGTTTTAATGGATGACGGTCGCAAAAGTTTTCTTTGTTTTTGGCTTCATAAAATGTTGACTCGCTGTGCAATACTTTTTTAAAATCTGGGGTTACAGGGTTTTTTTGGTATATAAAAAGTGACCAGTCTGTGGATGTCTAAGGTTTAAAAGCAAATGCAGTCTGAATTATTCTGCTGCTTTATAAAGTGTTCTCGCTCAGCCTGTTGTTCTTTGTCAGTGATGCATATTTTTGTCTTTGAAATGGACTTTTCCATGTGTTGAAATACCATTGGACTTCAGCCAAAGTATAAAAAGCATATTGAACTCGCTGAATATTCTATAAATTTGTTTGCATGGTCAATAGACCTGTGAATGGCGTCATTCATAGTGGTCAGTTTCAGAAAAGCTGAATTTGCTCGAGTTACTACAAAGATGGTCAAATTTTGTTCGTTTTCTTTTAAAAAAAAATGAAGTAAGGGAGCTCTGCAAGGCACATTCCTTCATCTTGTTGAGAAAAAATGCTAAGTCAGCTCATGTTGTAGAGCATTTTGTTTCATGATTGGGCATCATCTTTAAGAAATAGTTGTCTTTAACTTGGTCAGTGTGCATCTGATACCAGTGTAGGGTCTCTGATACCATAGCAAAGTTTCCAGAATTTTGCTTTGCTTGTTCAATGAATAACATTGTAAGCTACATGCATACCTTATTCTTTATATTTTAGGCTATGTGCATGTACGCGTTGTTAGAGATCCTAGAATCACAATGTGCGCAGTCCCTTTACAAATGGTTAAGCCATGACTGTTTTGTTAACTTTTAATTTACAAACCCATGATATATTTTATCCTGATGTCTTTCTTTCTTTTGGACAGTTTTGGTGGGGAAAAAAGAGCAAAAGGAGGGGGGGGGGGGAGAAGGAGGAGGACAAGAAAGCTGTAATCATTGCTTTTGTAGTTTTTTCTCTTTGTTGTATTGTTGCTTCTTACACACAAATTTTGTGTTATTCATTGACCAAATATTAAAGAAATGCCAAAAAACCACCACCGAACTTACACATGTTGCTTTTTGTCTTTGTGTTTGTGTTGCAGTACATGTAATAGGAAATGTCCTCTGTATGCGCACATACTGTTGCCTCAGTTTGTAGCGTGTGGAACTTTGATTTGGGCACTTAAAAAAAAAAAATGAGTACACGCACTCTTCTTTGGAAACTCCCTGTTAGTAGCATTTGTCTCTATTTTATGTTCATAAAAAAGAAATGATTAAACTTAGCACACAAACACACGAATACACGTGGCCTTTTGATTCCCCCCACCCCCGACACACGCGCGGGGAAACACACACACACACACACACACACACACACACACACACACACACACACACACGCATACATGAAAAAGGCCACACCCCGAAGTCGGAGCAGGGGGCTCTCATGGTCTTGAAGTTGAAATACGGTGTTCACCTCTCATACAAATAGGTCCCGGGTGCGAAACCTGACAGCGACGGAAAATTTCCTTTTCTAAAATGTTCTCCTTTCACCCCGTTTTCTGCTTTCTAGTCGTATTTTGTCATCTGCTTTCGTCTCCACTTTCTCCTCCCGCTTTCCCCCCTCCTCTAGGCTCCTGACTCTTTCTTCTTCTACTCCTCCTAGCTCCTTCTTACTGCTGTATTTCACCAGCCGCACCTCTGAGTCTGACAAGGGGGTTGGTAAGATAGAACACCTAGCCCTCTCGGAAAAGGGTGAAAAAATCTCGGTGGTCCCGTATTCACGTTGCACACGTT